GTTTGACCTTCCCGGCTGTGTCCCGGGAGTGTTTTCTCCGGCACTGCCCCCACGCTCCGGCCCTGCAGCAGGACACGCCGGCGTGAACCCATGCCGGGGAGTCAGGGACACCTGCTGTGGGGGGAAAGGCTGCAGGTCCCCATGTCCTGCCCTTGGCCACCCTGGCCCACCGGCAAAGACATACCGCAAGGACTTCGCGCTCAGGTCTCGCAGTCCAGGGTTTCGCTGGATGAGAAAGCCCCGCTCTCTTCCCTGCTGGGGTGTCGTGCATGGGGAGGACAAGCATATACAGGAGTAGAAGTTACCCTGGTCTGTGCAGTTGAGTTTAGGTCTCAATAAGCACGTTCTCCAGCCCCTTCCTTTTTCATAATCCCTAACCCACCAGCCAGACTGAGCTTCTCACTGGGTCCAGAGAAGCGAAGGATGCTCGGCGTTGCCTGTGCCCTCAAGCTGTCATTGGGAACCAGCACAGTGATGGAGGAGCCCACAGGACACCCTCCTTCTGTCAGCACCGCTTCATCTCTCAAGGGTGCAGGAAAGTACCCACAGCCTTGTTTCACCTCCCAAAAAAGCACAGAACCCAAGGGTGCCCCTCAGTTGACTGCCTGGACCCGCTCCCAGCCCTTCCACCCTTGCAGATGTGAGCCAGGATCTCCAACCCAGCTATTGCCAGTGCTGCAGCAAGAAGAGCTCTTCTCTTTCTTTCTTTCTTTCCCCCCCACACTTCTTTTTCATTGGCAAGATGACCCAAACAGGGCCAACGCTGACCCCTTGGCCAGCGCTATGTCATGATGTTTTTTTTCTCACGGTCAAATCAAGATCCTCGGGTTCTTGCATAACCAGGTACTTGGGAAAAGAAAGATTCCTTTCTTTCTTTAAAACACACCCCTGTTCTGCCTTCTCCAGCTTCCCGCTTTCCCCTTTCACAACCTGCCGGGGTTTAGTAACTTTCTCAGTGAAACAGGCACACACCGTAGCCCCACGGACCACGAAAAAGAAGGAGAAGGCAACTCCTGGGCTCCCCATCACCAGCCGCACGCACATGTGTTGGTGGAAGGGGAAGGGACAGGGAGGAAAGAGGATGGTGCCTCTGGTCACATGCAGAGCCCCATTTTTGAGGAATTGAAAGCATGTTATATCTGCAAGATTTCAAAAAAAAAAATAAAATGCCCAAAGGTGCTTCTGCATTTTAGGAAGCGGCCAGTGCAGTCATGCCCCTGAGGCCCGGGCAGGCTTGCGGGAGGCTATCGAGGGAGTTCCAGCGATAGCAGCCATCGGGGAGAAAATTGGGGCACGGTGGGCACGGGTTCAGCCCATGACAGCAGGGATCTCAGCCTCCTCCCAGTGCCTGCTGCCTTTGCCCTGGCAGCAGTGGGGTGAGGAGCTGGTGAGGTTTGGGGTTTGTGTGGTGCTTGCCTGTTTTGGGGTGGGGGAGAAGACACTTAGCCACTGCAATTTTGGTGGATTTGTGTATTTCTTTGGTGTATTTCTGGTGAGGGAATTCCTTGCAACAGAGGGATAGGGTATCTGCGGGACTACAGTCAGCACCAGATCAGCTGCCTTCACTCGGCGTGGAGGCAGGTCCTCCCTGCCTCGGGGCCTGTCTTTGCAGAGAAGAGCGGCCGTGCATCAGTTCCAATCTTCTTCCCAGTGCAGAGGGCCTTTTTACCTTCCAGCACTGGAAGGGGACGAAGCCACGCTGCAGACGAGAGCTCGGTGCAGGGCAAGGCAAAGGGGGCTTCTGCAGCTTTGAACTCAGTACCCAGTGCTGTGCAGGTCCTCCATTTATTCCTAAATGCCTTCAATTCAACGTCTTTTCAAACAGCCTTTCCCATGTGCAGCCAAGGAGGAGAGCCCAGGTATTGGGGAAAGGTGGGAAGATTTTGGACACCATGTTGACAAGCACCATATAAACACACGTAACAACCCAGGGTCCGTAGAAGGAACAGTGTCAAGGTCTGACGCTCGCTAGCGAAGCCTGACCCAGACCGAGATTGCTTGGGAACGAGCATGTGTGGGTCCCGTGCTGCCCAAAGCAAATGTCCAAAGATCAAGAGCTTAATCCGAGGAACAAAGCTCCCGTCGCTCAAGGACTTCAGCCCTGCCCAGGGCTCCCAAGCAACCCAGGTCCCTGGGAATGGGAAAACCCCAGCAGAGATTTGCTGGACTCCCAGAAGATTACAGCCCAAATGACTAAACCTGTTAGGTCACCCAAATGATCTGCTTCCTTTTATGGTCAAAATCAAGTGTCAGAATCACAGGTTTCCTCTTTCCTTAGAACTGGGCTTTCGCGATGCCACAGATCCTTCTTGCAATGCTAAAATTAAATGTCTGAAAGCACATGCATAGTGTTGCAATCTTACTGCTCTGCTTACTGGTCTGTGTAATGCATGAGTTGAGTAACAAACAATAGAGGTTGGAAATAGCCGGGACCGAGATTTCCTCTTTCATTTGCAGAATTGTTTCCTTGACTGGTGCGTGCTTAAGCCAGGTGGCAAAATGCTTGCCCTAACCAAGTTTCCTGGCAAGCAGGAGGGGTCTTTGGGTGAGGGGTGGAAAGGAGTGAAAGAAAAAGTTCCCAAAAAGCATCTCCTGCCTTTCTTGGCCTTAGCTTCACCCTCCTACTCCTTTACATGTTCACTCTGTCTCTCAGAGTGGTTCTTGCAGCTCCTCACAAACTTCTCAGGTCTATTTTCAAACCTGTGGACGGGAACTACTGCCACCCCATATGAGGGATGGAGACCTGAGGTGCGGATGCCCACACCCAGAGCACCTCTGATACTGCCAAAACCTGGCATTGTGACCTCTCCCACCCTCTGACACATAACGCAGGGAGCCAGGTCCTGCCAGCCCTGGGGAGCAGCAGAGCTTGTTGGTCTTCCGAATTCCAGAACTGCAGTGACCGCTTCCACCCTCACCTCAGTCCACAGTAAATCCTAGGTGGTACCAGCTCCAGCTGAGTGTAGGCATCCAGATCTCACCAGACTTTTATTTCTCTCCACCCCAATTCATTAAGGACTCATCACATTTGAGGTTCAGGACCCACCTGCCTTACCCATGGCTTGGTGGAAGGCCTGGCTGAGAAGCTGTCGTGTCCTGGTCTCCAGGGGACCCACCAGCCCATTGAACACAGGTGAGGAGCTTGCAGTGGAGCGGCTTTCCTGGATGCTGTAGACCCAGCTGGGTGCTTCTTGTCCTGGTTGCACAGGTAGAGTCAGCTACACGTACATGTTCCTGCTTCTGAAAAACCCAACCATTTCAAGTCTCCTCCAGCCCCTGGTGTTTGTCTCTTATCTGACTGAAACATGTCTCTGCCGCACTCACCTGTTGTGACCCAAGAAAGGGACCCCAGGCTGGGAGGGGTAAGGTGGCTGCCTGTCAAGCTTGTGACACTTGGGCTTTGTGGCCACGGGCACCCCAAACGCCAGGGACGCTGCCAGCAGCGATGACGTCCTTCTCCCAGCTGCACCCACAGCGCAGGCGAAGCACCGCGGTGGGCACGGCAGCACCGTGCCAGCTCCCACCGTTTGCTGCCCGAGGGCCTCCGCTTCCTGGATGGGTGTTCACATGCATCCAGATTCCTTAGAGGGTTTTGTTTTTTTTTAATCCACTTTCATAAATATTCATGTTTTCCAGCTGGCAAAAATCCCCTGTTGCTGGCTGGCCTTCCTCAGGGACCGGTGGTGGATCAGCCCCTTCTCTCCCTCCCCATGGCAGCGAGAAGCCTCCAAGTTCCCAGGGCGTCTCCTACACCCATCCACCCAACGCGGCCCTCTCTCCAAAAGGAGA